CCTAAAAACTACTACTAAAACATCATTTTTTCCGTATTGATATTCATATTTGAACTGAAGCATCTTTTGGTTCCTATTTTTTACTTCAAAAGATTGGTTATATAGATGGCTTAGATGTAATATTAAATAGGTATAATTAAATTATGACAGAATTTAAATACATTTAATAAGTTAAATATAAAAATATCACAGAAAATCATTTTATGAAGCATTCAAATTTACAGACTCAGTGAATATGTTAATGGACTACATATATTTTAAGGAAATAAACTTCTAAACAGATTCCAAATAGTCATAAAATTCAAATAAAATGATAGTTTCCTGCTCAATTTTTGTCAAGGCTACACAAAAGCCCTGATTTTTAGAAATTTTTATTTAACAGGTGTGCAAACAGATGCAACTTGTTTATTTTCTTCATACTTTAAAATTTCACCACTCCCAGAGAGTCTCTGGGTATATTTATATATATTAAAGTTCAAAAAATTACATAATTTTAGCAGCAAATAAATTCTGTTTCCTTTTTATCATCCAGGCAAAAAATATAATCATGAGACTCTGGAATTGCACGTGCTTTAAATAACTTGCTAGTCAGCATTACTGTGGCAGCAGACTGACATTTAGAAGAAAACGTGTTGGGATGGGATGCTGTTTGTTTCATTTGGGGGTGCTGTTATGTGGTGGTCTTTATACCAACAACTGATATGGTAGTGTAACAAGGGATGCAAGGGGATGCAAAAATACCGGTTTTGCACACTTGTATACTGTGTTTATATGTAAAACGTGAATTGGTCTCTCCTGCCTGTACAAAAAATGTAAACAACGTTAATATTTGTTGATTTCTCATTAATGAAGATATATTAACTGTCCCTAAGTCACTTGAAAAAGAAATCCTTTCCCCTTACTTTGGGATCTAGTTGGCTGTCTGCTTCCTCTCTCAAATAAAGCACACATAAGGCAGAACCACTGTCTGGCCAAGTTTGGGTCTGACTCCCAACCGTTCTTGCTCCCATCTAGCCTATCCTGCAGCAAGTCATAAGCACAGTGGATTAATTGCAAGAACTCTGGGGTCAGGCTGCTTGGTTTGGGCCTGACTCACAACTTCGTGGTGGTGTGACCTTAGCGAGCTATTTGATGGCTCTGGGTCTCAAGTCATGGTTTGTAAAATATATATTATTTTATACAGGGATAATCGTATTCATTCATAGGGTTGTTCTGAATTGTTAATATGCATAAGGCGCTTAGAAGAGTGCTCTGCACATAAGTAGTATGTGAGTGTAGTCTTCACCTGAAGTTTTGGGCTTTCTTTCCTCATCCAATCCTACCTCTTCTCTACTGATGGTGTGTATTTGGACCCCCTGGTGCTTGATCCTCAGATTTTCCATGGAAAGTTCCCCTTGGTCACACTCCCTTCCAATGCAGGCAGGACCTGTGTGCACATCTCCGTACAACCCTTGCCCCCAAATTCTAACTTCACATAGTTAACTCCTTTTGCCCTCTCAATCTCATGTCAAACATCACTGCTGGGGGGATGCCTTCCCTGGCCCTCCTAGGCTAGCTTAAGGCCTCCTGCTTCAAATATTCCTATTTCTCTAATTTTATAGCTCAACAGTTATGTGAATATTTAGTACATATGAATCCCTGACTAAAATGCAAGCTTTCTGAATGCAGAATCAAAATTCATTTTGTTCATCACTATAACCCAATCATTATAGCACTTGATTTATAGTAGGTGTGTAAGAAATATCTGTTATATAAATGAATAAATTAATGTTGGAGATGAGTCTGAGACTCAACATAAGTGAACAAGATTTGCCTAAGATTATACCATTAAAAATGACAAAATTGTCAGGAGAATGAGATTCTCCTGCCTCAATGACCTCTATTATTTCTAGGGCATTAAATCTTTACTTACACATATCATACAAAGAACCATGTGATTTAAGTACAGTGCAGGTTCTAGCATGAAAAGTAAAAGTACAGATCACAGAGAACAGAAGTATCTAAGGTAGTTTGGAGGAACTGGGCCCCCCTGAGGAAGTGATATTTAAGACATAAAGCAGGAGTTAAAATGAGCAAGGGGAACTGGGCAGAAAGTTCCTGATAGAAAGAACCACTTATGCAGGAATACAATGATGAGCAAAGCTGGGTGAATAAGAACAGAGAAAAGACCACTGTGATTGCAACAAATGGCACAGGAAGAGGGAGGCTGAGGTTAATCTGACGGGCAGGGCCAGATCAAGCATGACCTCGTGTACCAAGGAAAGAATTTTGTTCCTCAAGTAACAGGACAGATTACTACTGATAGGGTCTAAGTAGGGGTAACATGACCAACTCTGCACTTACGTAAGGTAATACTGACTGCCCTAGGGGAGGTTTGGGAAAGAGCAGACTTACTAATTGGGTGGACATAGGGGTCAAGTCAGAAAGGCGTGTAAAAGATGATGCTCAGATGTCCAGCATGATCAACTGAGAATTATGGTACCATTTACTGAGAAAGAGCCATTAGCAGATAGATCAAGAGTTTAGTTTCATTAAGTATGTAATAGGCTCTCAATAAATAGTGAGAACTATTATTGTGTTTGTGATTGCTGTTGTTACTGATGACTGAAAACCAATTGCTCCAACTGAGGGTAATGGTGACTTCTATGGATTTCAATGGATTGGGGTCTTAGGTGTTGTTCCCACTGTGTACACAGTCACTTCTGGACTTGGTGTTTGGGAGGAGGGATCACCTAGGGGCAAATGCAGCTGAGCCTCAACATGGAAAAGCCTTTTGGACCTCCAATCTGATTTCTCGGGTAAGCGTAGGATAACATGGGAGTAGCACATGAGAAAATAGCCTTCTGTTTTCTTGAATTTCCTTTTCCTTTTCCCAAGAATCAAGAAATTTTAGATACGAAAATATGACCATGACCTCCAGGTCTATAACGGCCAACAGATCTATGAGGCCACCAAGGTTGTATGAGGAGAACAAACCTATAAAATTAGTCTTGATTGGCCTGGGCTGAATAATGGGATGAGTGCAGACAACTCAAAGGACTGTCCTATCATTTGGGTAAGGAGAGATGAAGCAAAGAAATCAAGAGGTGTGCTTAGATCTTTTGATTTACAGAAGGTATTTTATACCTCATTTTCTAATCTAGATTTTATTCCTATCATATCTTGACCTCAGGTGGGACAGCATCATACTCATTTACACTGTTTACATAAAGTAAAAAAAACAAAAACAAAAAAAACGCCTCTCAGCCTGGTTAGTTGGCAGTACTGACTATAAGAGACCCTATCTTAACCCTGGTGAGCCAGCGCTGCTTATATAAGTGTGTGAGGTGCATGCTGAGTCCTCACATGGTGTGACAGCTCCACTGTCCTTGTACCCTCAAGATGCAAAGACCACATGTCAGGATTAGCTACACGTGTTAATCAGAATCCCTGTTATCATTATGCTGACCACCTTGTTCAAGAAGTCCCAGAACATATGAGGTGGCTGGCAGATGTGTGAAATACACTGAAAGGCATGTCTGTTTCAGAAGTTGGGGGTGCTGACTTGAGAAATGTTGCAGTACTTAATCTCTATGCCAACTGGGCATTTTGCAACCAGGCATCTGTAAGACAACTACTGCAAGGGGCAGTAAAGGAAGGTCAAATATAAGAAAGTCCAGATTGTTTCAGTTCTACAAGGTCCTGCCTATCGTCTAAAAGCTACAGCAATCCTTGCTTAATCTTGCACATATAATATATATATAACTGGCATGACTTAAAGCACAATCACCATTAAGGAACATCACACAAACACATACAGATCAGCACACAACAAGGGATTTTAAGGAGAGGGTAAGAGGAATCTTTTACCCAACATTCTGAAGTTTGACATGGCTTTTATTTATATGAGAACACTTATAAAGCTCCTTGAGAAATTTTAATATATTTTTAATTTATACCTTTATTATCGTATTTATTAAACTAGGAAAAGCATCTAGTATTTACTTTGATTTTTTAAATTTAAATAAGCACATATGAACAGCTTCCAAATGAACCTGTCTTCTTTATTGCTTCGGGTCATTTGTAATATTCTGTGATTTGGTATAATCTAGCAAGATCTGAAGGACCACCCCCCAATTCAGTACAACAAAATGAGCTAGTGGGGATTTACTTGGGCATTTCTGCGTCTATCCCTCATCATATTAACTGCTCCTTGTGTACATTTACTTCAGTGTTAGCTTTTTGAGACGTGTTGAAAATAAGACATTTTTATTTTCTATCTAAAAATTCTGAAGAGGATGTTTCCTTTTTCATATCTTCCACAATTAGAAGCCTGAGTGTGAAAATCAGAGCCTGAGTATTCCAAACAGGTCTCCACCACTAACTAGCTACATAAACATTTCATCTGTGTCCTAGGCTTTTTCCATCAACCTCAGATACTCATCTGTAAAAAAAAGGATAAAGTTGTACCTGTCTCAAAAAGTGTCCAGAGCTTTGTTACATATAAAGGACTTCGAGTTGTGCCTGGCACCTAGTCAGTGCCCCAGAAATGTTAGCTATTGTCACCATCATCACTGTTACTATCCTTCTGAAATAGAATCATTTCTTTTGTTCCCGGGCGCTTGGACAAAGCCTACAAGAATACATGTTAAACTTTTCCTTCTGTATTCCAAGCCCTTTGCCTTATCAGCAGCATCAATCTTCTTCACTTTCCATTCAATAAAGGTTTTCTCAGTCCAGTGATTCTCAAACTTTTTCTTTTACATAGACACCTTTATAATATATTGAAACATACCAGGAATTTTCACATGATATAATATATAATTTTAGAATCTTTTAATTAAAAATTACATATAAACAGAGGGATGTGAGGAACCCCCTACAATAACTCCATAGCCCCGCAGGGTCTTCATCGGTGAGGAACCATCACTTTAATCAATAAATAATATATTTAAATTAAAATGAAATTCAGTTCCTTTATTCAAAGCCCCATGAGTCACAGCTCTTTTGGCCTCTCTTACCTCGCCCATGACTGCTATGGGTGTCTCTCCTGTTGCCTGAGCAACACGATGTTCTACTAAGTAGAACATATACTCATCGTAGAGTAGACGGATCAGGTGGAAGGAGCCAAAGCTAGCAGCACTGCGTAAGGTTAAGTCCCGAATAACCATTGAGCTGTTTCAAGAGAGAAGACATATATGCAGCCAGTATTAGTGACCAGGATGAGAGTTCAACCTACTTTTCCTCCTAAAAGAAGTTAAGCCAGAGGGTCGAAAAGGCTGGTGTATCACACAACCTGCCATGGAATAATTTCATTACTGAAAGCAGTTGGCTCAACTTGTTTAAATAGGGTGGTTAAAGAGGGCCTCCTTAGCCAGCTTTGGTTAGATCCTTATCAGATCTAGACAGATCTTTGCTGGGAAAAACCATCTTACTGTTATAGGTGAGTCTTCTGATTCTATTACTCTCACAGATGGGACCAGAACTAAATTAAAAAAAAAAAAAAGATTTTTGAAACACTGACAATTCATCGCCACCATAAGAAAAAGCAACTCAAAGTGACAATCTTTTTTGAGGGTAAGCAATGTGTCACCACCTCTTGGTGATAATAACTTTGGATGGACACTTTGGAATAAATAGGTATTTGTGCCATACAAAGATTGCAAAATATACTAAGTAATGTTTCCAGATGTGGCAATAGAGAATGTACACGAGTATGTACAGGGATCCCTGCAAATCCTATTAGAAGGTAAATTTATTAAGTGATTCCAGTTTCATAATGATGTCCATTTAAACTAAGGTGATTTTTCCATTGGAAATAAGTATAATAAAAATAATTAAGAAATGTCTATCTTTGAAAAATTAGAATTTATAAAATATGATACCAAAATATGAATATTATTAATACTAACAATATACTCTATTATATTTAAAATGGAAAGCAGTCCTAAATAAAATTTTGTCCTCACTGAAGATGTGCCAGTCTTGGAGCTTGTTCATGTACTTCAAACCACCTTATTATTTCTAACTTAGAGTCAGAGTCGGGTGTCTCTGTGTGTGTTTCTTATCACTTTCATTTCATGGTCTTTTCTAGAGATTTTTGGCCTAGAAGGGCTAAAACAGCTATTAGAGTCTTAGGTGGAAGAGAGAGGATCTCACAAATGTATAGGCTGATATTCCTAAAGCCTGCTTTGCAATGAAGAATTGTAAAATGTCAGGCAGATGGAAAAAGACTCTACTTCTCTTTTCTGTTTCATTGTCAACTTTATTTATGTAGAGGCTATTAATATATCAAATTCTATACATCCAGTTTCACAAGTGGCAGATGATCATGGTACATCTGAAACTCTAAGCCCTACATTCTGATTCTGGCTCTTCATTAATTCTCTGTCGACTTCAAACAAATCACTTCCCTGAGACTGTTTCTCTTCTTGGGTGAAAATAAAAGCTATGGTCTTGGTCTCACCTAATGTACAGGATTATTTTAAGGATGTGCAATAAACTTATGAATGAACAGATCACTACTTAAACATAAGTGGTTATAATTATACAGAACAGGAAGAGACGAGCTTCTCATTCTCAGTTGGTTATAGCAGCAAGAACAGGAGGTTACTATATGATGATGGCAGGAGACCTCTCATTAGTGTATTTATTTGTTAAAGAGAAGGAGAAGCAGGAGTTTAGAGTGAGATAGACTCATGTTAATCACAATGTGATCTTAATCGTAAGCACACCATTCAACATTTTAAGGTTCAAGGTTAGTCTGAGGGTCAAATGATATTACGTATGTGAGATCTTAAGAAAACTACCCCATTACTAATTTCTCTGACATTGGCTGTAGCAACATTTTTCTATATGTCTCCTGAAGCAAGAGAAACAAAAGCAAAAATAAACTATTGGGACTATACCAAAATGAAAAGCTTCTGCACAGCGAAGGAAACAAGCAAAAAAAAACCTAAAAGGCAGCCTACTGAATGGGAGAAGATATTTGCGAATGACATATCCAATAAAGGGTTAGTATCCAAAATTTATAAAGAGTTTATATAATTCAATACACATATACTCAAAACACAACAATCCAATTAAAACATGGGCAGAAAACACAAACAGACATTTCTCCAAAGAAGACATACAAATGGCCAACAGACACATGAAAAGATGTTCAACATCACTCATCATCAGGGAAATACTAATCAAATCCACAATGAGGTATCACCTCACATCTTTCAGAATGGCTAAAATCATGCACTGTTGGTGGGAATGCAAACTGGGGCAACCACTGTGAAAAACAGTATGGAGGTTCCTCAAAAAATTACAAATAGAATTACCAGATGATCCAGTAATCCCACTACTGGGTATTTACCCAAAGAATATGAAAACACGGACTTGAAAAGATATATGCACCCCTATGTTTATTACATTACTTACAATAGCTCAATTATGGGAGCAGCACAAGTGTCCATCCATTGATAGATGAATACATAAAGAAGATAACACACACACACACACACACACTGGAATATTACTCAGCCATAAAAAGAATGAAATCTTGCCATTTGCAATGACAGGGATGATTTAGAGTATAAAGTTAAGTGAAATGTCAGTCAGAGAAAGAAAAATACCATATGATTTCACTCATATGCAGATTTTAAGAAACAAAACAAAGAGAAAACAAAGACAAACCATAAAAAACATACTCTTAACTACAGAGAACAAACTGATGGTTTTTTAGAGGGGAGGTGAGTAGGGGGAATGGGTGAAATAGGTGATGAGGATTAAGAGTACAATTATTGTGATGAGCACTGAGTAATGTATAGCATTGTTGAATCACTATATTGTATGCTTGAAATTAATATGTATGTTAATTACACTGGAATTAAAAAGGTATCAATTACCACAGTACTACATATATTAGAGTCAATGATATATTCATTATCATATACACTAGTTCTAGTGAATAATTCCTTAGACTCAAATACCTTAGTGAATCTTCAAGTTTAGACTCTGTAAGTGAGTTATTAAAAATAGATTCTTTCATTCATATGCCATAGATACAAAATTCTGTTTATAATTCTATGCTCTTTCCTAAAATTCAATGAGACATAACCCACTTATAAAATAATAAATATATATATATAATAGCTGTTTGAAATCAAACAATTATTTTTCTATGGAAAAATCTTAAAAGGCAGAGAAACCTCTACTTAAAAGAGCAAAGCAAACACAACACAAAAGTAACAATAAAATGTTGCATAACATTTTTACCTGGACTGATCCCAACTTGATCATGTGAAGTAAATAATTTTGAAAAATCAAGTCATACAGAAACAGAAAACTTGCTCCTAACTCTATCTCTTGTTGAAGAGAGTAAATATTTATAATACATACCAGAGAAGACAAATGGCTAACAAATATTCAAAAATATGAATAATCTTATTCAAATTTTTAAAAATTGCTAGTTAAATATCACCTATAATCTATCATACTGCAAGAGATGAGGAGATTCAGTGTTGCAGAGAAGATGGGAAAAGCATTCTCATTTACTATTTCTATGTGTATAAATTCATGAAGGGAAATTGGCAATATTTATCAAAATTAAAAATGCAAAAAACCTTTGACCTAGCAATTCTAATTCCATAAATTTACACAAATGAACAAAGATAAGTTTTAATTGTAGCAATATTTATATCGGTGAGAAACTAGGAGGGAAAACCAAATATCTATCCCATCAGTCAATGTTGATTAAACAAATTACAAATTAGGGCTCAGTCACATACAAACTGTATGCAAGAATTTAAAGAAATGAGGAAAACCAGACATAAGGGTAGGTACATGGAAAAGAGTCCATGATATTATGTCAAGTTAAAGAAGTAAAATATATAGGCGTCTATTTAATAGAACAACTATCTTATAGTTGTGTTTTTTTTAAATCCTACTCTTAAGTAAATGGGAATTTATTAGCACTAAGCACACTTCATTAATACAGTGTTAGTCGCTGTAAAAAGTTCAAATCTTTTAACCAGAATGTGTCTGAAGAAACAGGGGCAATTTCATACAAAGATTACAGTATTTTTTATCGTTGTATCACAATGCCGAAAACCACCTAAATGCCTAAGAATAAGCAGGAAAGGTAATGTTTGAATAATGTGTGAGATGTACATATAATATTGAATATTGGGAGTACATTAAAAAGTTATGTTTTTAAAGATGTTTAACAACAAGAAATGTGTAAGATATAATGTTAAATGACAAATGTTAAAGGAAAGATATAGGTAATAGACTATGGTAAACAACTGGATTCCAATTTTATATCACACTAAAAAAAGCCCCAACAATTTACCGGTGGTTATTTCTGGGTATTAAAATTATGAATGATGTAAGTTTATTCCTTGCTAATTTTTTAAAAAGATTTTATTTTGGGGGCCCCCAGGTGGTTCAGTTGGTTAAGCACCTGACTCTTGGTTTCGGCTCAGGTCCTGATCTCATGGTTTGTGGGATAGAGTCCTGTGTCAGGCTCCATGCTCAGCAGGAGTCAGCTTGGGTATTCTCTCTCTCTGCCCCTCCCCTCACTTGTGCTCACACTCTCTCTCTCTCAAATAAATAAATAAAATCTTTAAAAAATAATAAAATTTAAAGATTTTTTATTTATTATTTTAAAATTTTTATTTATTTATTCACGAGAGACACACAGAGAGAGACAGCGGCACAGGCAGAGGGAGAAGCAGGCTCCTCACAGGGAGCCCGATGCAGGACTCGATCCCAGGACCCCGGAATCATGCCTTGAGCCAAAGGCAGACACTCAACTGCTGAGCAACCCAGGTGTCCCAGAAATTATTTTTAAGTAAGCTACGCCTAACATGGGGCTTGAACTTATAACCCCCAGGTCAAGAGTTGTAGGCTCTACTGACTGAGCCAGCCAGGTGCCCTTCCTGGTCATTTGTAATATTTCATGTACTGATTTCATTTTTTAAAATGTTTATTTTAGGGCAGCCCAGGTGGCTCAGTGGTTTAGCGCTGCCTTCAGCCCAGGGCCTGATCCTGGAGACCCAGGATCGAGTCCCACATCAGACTCCCTGCATAGAGCCTGCTTCTCCCTCTGCCTGTGTCTCTGCCTCTCTCTCTCTTTCTCTCTCTGTGTCTCTCATGAGTAAATAAATAAAATCTTTTTTAAAAATGTTTATTTTAAAAGATGACATTATAAATATAAAAAAACAATTCTGGGTCAGTTGAATGTCAATAAATCTTGGCAGGGATAAATATCACAGATATAGAATGAAATTATATATAACATATATTTATTTTTTAAATTCAAGTTTTGGGTCTTTATATTTCCCTTAAGATAGAATCATCCTGAAATCATGTTAATACTAAGGAAAGTATTCATATTGAGTAGCTTTCTGACATCACTATGGACATGCAGAGTCCATTGTTTTTTCCCAAGAGAATTTACGTTCATCCACTCAATAGCTGTTTATGGCATCCCTACTCTGTGCCAAAGAGGGTCTTGTTCCAGAGCAAGTCAGATGAAATTTTGGTTTCAACAGAACTCACACTCTAGAGAAACGGTTGAGAAAAACACTAGTAGATATAAAATACAAATTCAGGTAGTGATAAATCCTATGGAAAAAAAATAAATCAGGGAAAGAGGTCAGGGAGTGATGGGGGCTGGCATTTTAAGTTAGGTTGTCAGGTAAATTTTTTCTGAGAAGGTGATACAGCTGAGCAGAAACTGGATTGAAGTAAGCCATGTGAACATGTGAGCTTTCCTGGCAGAAATGAGAGCAAACACAAAGGCTTTGAGGAACCATGCTTGATGTGTTCAAAGGACAGCCGGGAGGCTCATGTGGCTGGAAGACAGTGAGGAAAGAGAAGAAGACACAATGGGTCTGGGGTCACTACTGGCTGGTCTATGTTGGGTCTTGTAGAGCATAACAAGACCTTGGATTTTATTCTAAGTGTCTCTAGAAACTTTTGGACAGTTAGGCAATTACCTTATACACACATAATACCAAAATCTGTTTGAAAACAAATAAACAAAAATCTACTGACCTTCCATCATAATACCTATTTTTACCAAATACTGATAAGCATGCCATGAAATTACTGTCCCGTGTTTAGAAAAGAATCAGCCGAATTGCATTATTAATCCCATGTCTACTGTAGTATCTCTCTCTAGGTTGGGCTTTTGCCCTATAAGCCAAGTATTAAATGACACAAGTAACAGTTTAATTGGAAACTTCTTTTCAGACTCAGACTTCTATAAGATATGTTGCAAAACAGACTCCACTGGATTTCATGTTGCTAAATTACCATAAACTCAACTTCTTTTAAAATCAGAGTTCTAAAGTTAATTGTTTTATACATGAGAAACCCCCTTGTTTATTTATCTTTGTAACTAGGGTCTGGAAGATGAAATATATACCCTAAAAAATGATACTTAGACTATCTCTTCTTAGGAAGGGTGTGGGGATATGTCACGTAGCCCCATGCAAACTCTCTTTTCTCAAACAGGGCTTACAGTTGATTCCAAAAGAATATTACCATTTGGGAGATGTATAAATTGTCCAGTTGTAGGGAAGCTACGTTCCCTGTACTCTTTCAAGTCACTGTAGCAAAGCTATAAGTTTTGTTCTTGAAAAATGGGATATTTGGATGACCCTCAGGGTGGCTCTGAGGAATGTTCTGTTAACCACAAAACACACAAGCTGAGAAATGGCCCACATAACTTCTCCATTTCTGCCCAAGAAAGGTGGTAATATTTTTTTTTCTACCTCCCAGGGAGCCAATGGCAGTTACTCAAAGCCAGGTTAGGCAAGGAGAGACTCCCATTTGGAGCAGAGTGGTGTCTGCCCATCAACTGCTGCTGTTACGATTCTCTGCCAGCCCATTTCTATATTTGTATGCATGTAAATATATACACAGAACTTTAAAAATTGTGATATTACCTGACTTCAGAACATGAAGGGTCTGTGTCTATGACTGCCAAATTCTTATTACAATGCCAAAAGCCTGAAAAAAAAAATACTTTGTAGTTCTGCTACTCTGATACTTTGTGAATGCAGTTTTCATGACTCAATATGTTCTTCTGCCGCAGTAAAAAAAAAAAAAAAAAAAAAAAGTTTGGATTTTAAAGGCTCTTCAGTTTCTAAGCTATGGACTTTGCCTACCAGTAGGAGGTATGTATCTGTCTGAATATGCCTTTCCTTCCGTGGTCCTGAACTATATGCCTCTGAGTCCTTTTGAAATAAAAATAATAACCATAATAGTGTCTAATAATAACAAGCCAATTATCCCCGACTCAGGGAGGACAGAGGGCAGGCAAGTGATGATCTACTGGGTTTGTGTATCTGCAGAGAACAAGAAATACAAGTAAGTAATTTTCTCTCCTTTCAAGATACTTGCAACAGATCTCTGTGGAGATGGAGGCACCAGGGATGTATTTCTAAAATGATATCAACTAAATATAGAAAAAAAAAAACTCACAGGAAGGAGTAAGGCAAGTCTGACATAACAACATAAGAAAGCAGTAAGAAAGAAAAAAAACCTTGCATTTTCTGATATAGAGAATGCACTCTGCTTTGGGCCACAGAGGTTTTGGAAGAACCAGCTTGTATAACTTTGGTTTCACCAATCATTCATGAAATACATATACCATCTGCCTGACTTTCTGAGAAGAAAGTGTTTGAATTAAAAAAAAAAAATCAAGTCACAGGTAAATGGGAGAATATCTGAAATCTTAAGAAATGTTCTCAAATTAAAATTCTGAACTCGACTATTACCACTACTGGTGCTGCAGCTTCTTGAGACACCGTGACAATGTTCTCCAAACCTTCACCACATACCCAGGGAAAACTTTCATCTCTCGTCAACCAACATACTTCTCATTAACACCCAGATCTAAACCTAGCACTGGCTTCACGGCAGCATACCAGGGGGTCACAGACTCAGGCAGCATTTTAACAAGGCGCTTCTCAAATTCTGCTGACTAAAAGTATCAAATGTAGGAGACCTAGAACTGTGGTTATCACTCTAGTCCAAAAATAAAAACAAAATAACAATAATACAAAGCAGGCAGGCTTTCGTTCACCGCACTTGACCCTGGGCTAGACATCAGAAAACTGTTATGTAAGATGAGGTTAACTCCTAAGTAAGCATATATAGTGGATTTACAGCTCTCCTTTGGCTTAGCAAATAAGAATTGAACCAAATCAAGTAAAATCAGGTGAAAGAAAGAAATCACGATAAAAACCAAAGCAACTATCATCATAATTAAAAGATCTCTGGTTCCATCTTCGTGAAGGTGGTCAAAAGCAGATGGAAATCTCATAGTTTGGGCTTCTGGGTGGACAAGTACCACAAGTTCCTAAACTCTGTGACTTATTCATACACCTTCTCTCCACACAACTAGCTCTGGACTCACCATGGAGATTTAGACGACGACCATGATGTGCCCATAGCCACAGTGTGCAATGTCCTGTGGTCATTACTTTCTGATATGTGCATGGATGCACAAGATCTAAACTAGGAACTACCTAAACTCCAAAGTAGATATACAGCCTTTACTAAAGCCTGTGTCAGTCGAGATACCTTCATCTAAAGAAGCAAAAAAACCAAACTCCCACTACGAGAAAAAATTCCAAGGTCAGAAACATAATTTACCTAATTCATGTTATGAAATGAAACCCCATCTCTCAATTTCATCCTAGGTATATAAGCCTATGAGCACCGGCTGTTTTTAACCTTTGGAGGCACACCTATGGTCAACAACTCATCCCAACATTTGATATCATCTATGCTGTAACCTAAAAGGCTTTCTCTTCCAGGGTTCCGTGTTGATAAAATACAGGTATTTAAATCTATATTATTTTAGTAATAAGAGATTCATATTGTCCTGTCTACTAGATTATTGGTTCTTAAACTGGCTATGCATTAGAACCACCAGGATGAAGTTTCTAAAGACAAAATTTCAGATTGCCTCTATTCCTATTCCTACTGCCCCTCCACCAAGATTTTGAATCAGTAGGGTTTGGGGAGATACCTACAATTTTTTTTTTAATACTAATTCTTAATGCGCAGCTAGGTTTGAAAACAATTGTTAACCTGATAAAATTGAGAAATTAACTGGATGGTTCTGAGCATGCATCACAATCACCGGAAAGACTTGTTTAAAACCCCAGATTGCTGGAACCAACCAACCTCTTCAGTTTCTGATTCTGGTAGATTTGGGAAGGGGCCTGAGCATTCGCTTTTGTAATGTGTTTTCAAATGAAAGTGATGCTCTTGGTCTCTAGAGACCACAGTTTGTAAATTAGGGCACCAGAGAATCAGGAGGGGTATGGCATTAAATCTTCAAGAAAGAAGCATACATAATGCACGCTTGCAAGAGGGAGGATGCTGGCCCTTTCCTGACTTCTGGTGCATACATCGCCTAGACTAGCACCTGAAACCTTCCCACCTGACAACTCCAGGGCCATGAGCCAGCGGCTTCACTTTCCTAACAGAGAGTTTATTCCCATAAACTTCCCCATATGATCATGTCCATGATGCTGGAATCATTGAGGTAGGCTGAAGGTAATTACATAACAGGGAGTTTTCAAACAAAGTCAACACTGATTTCTTTCCTTCTGACTAAGAAGCATGCACATATACACATAGTTGCAGAACAGGAAAATTCAAGAAAGCTTAGGAAGAATTGAGGCTATACCTGTAGAAAGACCACTTTAGCAGGAATTGCCTGGCAGCTTTCGGAAAACTGGGCCTTCCCTCATAGGGCTTTAGCGCCTGCATCATCACATTGTCGAGCCATGCAGCCCACTGCTCCAGGGTGCTCTGCTGCTGGAGAGTCATCTTGAAGTCTGTTTCTAGTCTCTGAACCATGTTGTCATCACACTGGCACACCCAGGAGGCCTGCTCCTGGGACAATACATGGAAAGCAAAAGGAAACTTCAACTCAGCATCTTTTCCTTGCATGTCAGCATGCAAACCCTATGCACGAAGGGGAAATTAATAATGACAGCTTCAAACAATGAAATGAATCAAGAAAACGAATGGCTACCCGCCCGTTGTTAGGAAAATGAACATTACCCTAGTGCATGAAGACACGATGTGGTGCAAAAGCATGACTTGGTTTTCCTACTCAAGCTAGTCTGTGTGAGGGACTCAAATACATGATTATCTAAGAAAAGGAGAAGCTGAACCCACAGTAGGCAGGGTCTTTCATCCTATTGTTCTCATGCTGCCTTCAAAAGTTTGTTCTCTCTCGTTCTCTTCCCTCCTCCATCAGATACAACTTGAAAGCCAATCCATTTGAGAAGATTTAGGGTAAGTCAGATGGAGAAACAGATTCAATTGGCCACAAGTGGTCCCTCAGGATTCAAAGAGAAACAAATGCTGAGTGGTAGAAGGTAGAAGCAGATGCTGTATGAGTTTTACGGATTGAGAGCAGAAATCTCAAGGGCCATCAAAGCAAGGGTATGGATGCAAATGAATTCACAGAACTGAAAACAACAGTAACAATGACAATAAAACTACTTTTGAGAAAATGTAGACATCTACCTGCCTAGGAATTCAATTACTGCAGTTCCCATCCTGCGTTGCACTGGCAAGTTTCATATTTAGTAACAGTGATGGAAACAGGAACTTTAATTTTGTTGTTTAAATATTTTATTTATTTATTCATGAGAGACAGAGAGAGAGAGAGAGAGAGAGAGAGAGAGAGAGAAAGAGAGGCAGAGACACAGGCAGAAGGAGAAGCAGGCTCTCTGCAGGGAGCCCGATGTGGGACTCGATCCCAGGACCCCAGGATCATGACCTGAGCCAAAGGCAGACGCTCAACCACCGAGCCACCCATGTACCCATGGGAACAGGAACTTTAAAGCCAGTTTTCAGTAGGTGCTGTACGTTTTGTGATGTTTCCCGTGCTGTGTGGCATTTTAAAATTTAAAAATATATACTCTCGGGGTCAAAATATAATTGTTTGTGAGTAAAATGTTTGAGAGTCAGGGGACGCAGCTTTTAATACAGGGCACAAATCAACTAAACTGACCTCAAGCAACTTACATGACCTACGTGGGCCTCGTTTTCCCAAAGTATAAAACTGAGAAATGAGATGTGACAAGGATTCTTCACCTGGGTTCACTGCATTCAGATAATGTTCTCAAGGTAAGCTCCTATGGAGGGGTGTCTGTGAAGATCCTAATCCCACATCTAAAACATTGTGATTATGTGTGTATTTTTCTGGAAAGGATGTGTAATAGTTTCCAAGCTTTGAGCTCTCAGAGAACAAGTTGACTCACATAGATAGTTTCAGCTGAATAAACTACTAATCTTCATTGTGTGGTTCCAGAGTCTCTTCTGATGATACAGACATTACCTATTCAAGAGATATTTCAACTGGGAGGCATTTCAAATACAAAATGCCCAAACTGAATTATTTTACTTCCCCAGGGAAACCTATAGTTTCTTCTAAATCCTCAACAGACAACACCATCCACTACCCTTTTCTAATCTAATTAGCCATAAAGTCTTTCATATTTACCTCCTGAGGACCACTTTCAAATGTTTTAAGTACACCAAAATATGATTATAAAAAAACCTGAAAATACAAACCCACACAAAGGAACAAAATATAAGGAATATCTAAGATGTCAACACTAAGAGATAACTAAACACGCCCATGCATAAACTTTTAACTATTCACATGCACTATGTGTTTATGCATAAATATTTAAAATAAAAAAGGATCATATTATACATTTGAGTAGAGATTCTGCTTAGTTTCACTTAACCTATATAGGATAACTGAATTTCCATGAAGGCGAATGTAGAGCTAGATTTATTGTTAACTGATGAGTTTGCTTTCATGCATGAATATACCATTATTTTCATAACCAATTCCATGCAGTTAGACATTCACGTTCCTCACGATGCTTTACTATTAGGAGGAAAGCTAGAATTAGCTATCTTGAAGCTACATCTTTGCAAATTCTGCACTTACTCTTTTATGATAGAATTATATAAGGAGTATAGTTAAGCTTTTTTCAGTATATACTGTCAAATGACCCTGAAATTTTATATTTAGAGTCTAGGAGAGCACCCAGGGAAGAATTTAGGCATCAAGGAAAGGACAGCGAATAGCGAAGGTTGTTTTGGCTGTTTTTTTTTTTTTTTCATTAATGTCTAAGCACTTTTTAAATTGTGGTAAAAAACAACAGAATTTATCATCTCAACCAGTTTTAAGGGTACAGTCTAGGACTGTTAACGATATGTTCCTTATTATGTGATCAATCCCTAGAACTCTCATTTTGCAAAACTAAAGCTCTATACCAATTGTAGGGAGGGTTGCTTTTTTTTATTTGTTTGTGCATGGCTAACAGGGGAGGTGTTGGGAGGAGGAACTCATTGGTTATCTTTGGAGGAATTTAATTTCCTTTCTTACCATAAATTCAAACTCACTATTTACTTGGAAGTTAGTTTTAGGAAAGAGGATGATTGGAACTGAAAACTAACTTAGAGAAATAAAACCACAGGACATTATTCTGGCTTTTCAAATTACATTATATGTCATTTTACTACTCTGGAGATTGAAGATAAACTAACAATAGGGTAGACTGTAAATATTCCCTTGTGAGAGGAATTTGGACATTTTAGCTCTATAAATGGAAAAAGCTAAGAAGAACACTAAAGATGTTCTTAACTTACAAATAGATTATATCCAAAATGATAAGGAGTCGGTAGTTTCAAAATCGGAATGTCTTTTAATTAAGCAAACACAAGTGTACCCAATGGTTAATTTACCAGGTCAACCCACTAAACCTATTTGCCCTTAATGTGGATAAAAACTATCCATTTACACGCACACACAAAATACCTCTGCAATGCTATCAATTTTTGTAAAGATTTTATTTATTTATTCATGAGACACATACACACACACACACACAGAGAGAGAGAGAGGCAGAGACACAGGCAGAGGGAGAAGCAGGCTCCATGCAGGGAGCCTGATGTGGGACTCCTAAGTCTCCAGGATCAGGCCCGGGCTAAAGGTGGTGCTAAACCCCTGAGCCACCTGGGCTGCCCAATGCTATCAATTTAATAAAACAGAAAACCAATTATACTACAGTAGAAAGATTACCTTTTTTAAAAGATTTCTTTATGCATTTTAGAGAGAAAGAGAGAAAGAGACAGCACATGCACAAATAGGGGTAGGGGCAGAGGAAGAGGAAGAAAAAGAGAATCTCCAGTAGACTCCTTGCTGAGCATGGAGCCCAACGTGGGACTCAATCTCAGGACCTGAGACCATGACCTGAGCCAAAATCAAGAGTCAGATGCTTAACTGACTGAGCCATCCGGGTGCCCCTAGAAAGATTATCTTGAATGCATAAGCAAAAGATGAGTTAATTGAGAAGAAAGAAGTGGTGAAAAAAGATTTATGGATATCCTGAAGAAAACCTTTTAGTACTTCCAAGCTCTTAAGAGCATGATAATGTTGACACTTAAGTGTAATCTCATCGTTTTACATTAAAGCCTTCTTACTTAAAAAGCACCACTCATACACATCCTTTTTACTGAGATCCCCTGTCAAGGGGGCAAGGACAACCTCCAGATGAACAGGACAGTGTGACAAAAGTGGGATGAAAGGTGGAAGAAGGTCGAGAACTCTAGAGGACTCTACAAAAACTGGGCAAAGCTCCAAACAAAACAAAAGAAAGGAGTTAAAGGTGGAACATATTCCCCTAAGAGATTACTGATTAAGATGAACATAGCATGAGAAAAAAAGGTGTTGGGGAAACAGAGGGCACGCCACTATGTTCCTGGTCGTCTGAGGAGAGGAAAAGTGTCTCGGAGGACAGATGGTGAATCAATACAGGTTTTATGCAGACCCAGGAGAAGTTCAGAGGAAGGGAGAAGGTAGTCTCAGGTGGTGGGTGGAGGATGAGAAGAGTAGAGGTATAATCCACCACTTTTATGAAAAGATGTTCTCAGGTTGGTGGTTATAACCCAGAGGAACTCATTTGCATAAATACTATATAGGGCTGCAGATACACAAATACATCAAAAAACCTTTCTCAGATATTATTAGGAATCATTCTTTATATTTTCTGTTACGGAACTTATGTAACACTTGAAACTACAAGTTGCCATACTATCTCAGCTTTTTTAAAGCTACTTTTAAAAGGATCTTTTCTGAATGAAGATTTGAAAGAAACATTATGGAATACATTTTAAGGTAATATGGACATCTCGTATTCTAACCAAAATCAGTTAACGTAAATTTCATTGAACATTGTAAAGTTAATGGCTTTGCAAACCCGAGAGTCTGTTCTTATAAACATTTTGTGTTTGCACGTGTGTATTTATACTTGTTTGTACACAGATATATAAGATACACAGAAAGACAGACTGCTTAAAACTTCACATCACTGGGAGTTTGAGCTCAATCCATGAAATTCAGAATGAACTCAACTAATTACTATACCCTAAACTGAATCAACCCCAAATATTACTTTTTGATATATTTAAATCACAAAACTAGACCAGAACCACAGATTAAAATTTCTAGGAGATGGGAGTAATTCATGGTTTATTTTAACTCAACGGTATTGGGTTGTTGTTTTTTTAAATTTTATTGAGATATGATTCTTGTATCATAAAATTCACTCGTTTTGAAGTATATCATTCAATGGCTTTTTGTAGAACATTGCGAGTTGTGCATCTATCACCACAATTTTAGAATGTTTTCATTTCCCCCAAAGAACCCTCCCCCATCTATCACCTTTCAATTCCCAGTCCCTAGAACTCAGGCAATCATGAACCTACTTTTTGTCTCCTATAGACTTATCTATTCTGCACATTCCATATAAAAGGAAATCAGGCTCTATGTGGTCCTTTGTGTCTGGCTTCTTGGGCTTAGCACAGTATTTTTCAAAGGTCACTCACATTGTAGCAGGTAGCAGAACCACATTTCCTTTTATTGCCCAGTAATATTCTACTGTGTGGCTCTGTTTATGTGCTCCACAGTTAATAGGTATATGGGTTGTTTCCACTTCCTGGCAGCTAATGAATAACGCTGCTACGAGCATCCACGTACAAGTTTCATGTGGACATGATTTCATTTCTCTTGGTAGGTACATAGGAGTGAAGTTGCTGAGTCACACCGTAACTCTGGAGAAACTGCCAGACTTTTTCCAAAGTGGCTGCATTTGACATTCTCATCAGTTGTGTGTGAGGGTTCAGGGGCGTGCCCTTCATTTCCCCCCTATATCTTTTGTGTTACTTTTCATACTGTTCCTTTTAATCAGTAACCTCTTTCTTAAGGTAGCATATTCCACCTTTAACTAACTCCCTTCTTTCCTTTTGTGATTAGCTGTCTCATTATACTGAGTTTAGTGGGTAAGAAGCAGGATCCCACTGTGGTTTGGAGCTGTATCTCCCTGGTGGCTAATTATGTTCATTCTCTTTTCAGGTGCTTATTGGCCATTTGTATACCTTCTTTGGAGAAATGGCTTTGCAGATCTTTGCTCTTTTCAAACTGGACTTTTTCTTTTTTTATTAAGATTTTATTTATTTATTCATGAGAGACACAGAGAGAGAAGCAGAGACATAGGCAGAGGGAGAAGCAGGCTCCCTGTGGGGAGCCCGAAGTGGGACTCGATCCCAGGACCCTGGGATCACTCCCTGAGCCGAACACAGATATTCAACCCCTGAGCCACCCAGGCATCCCCCTGTCTTTTTAAATTGTTATTTTTTTTTTTATCATATACATGATTTGTAAAAATTTTCTCAATTCTATCAGTTAGTTTATTTTCTTGCTGGCCTCTTGAAGCACAAAAGGTTTTCATTTTGATTATGTTCAGTTCACATATTTTTTTCTTTCTTTTGTTGCCTGTGCTTTGAGGAATGCAATACTTTTATATGGTAACAAGTAGTCTCATTACTTTAGTACCTGAAATAAAATATTTGTGGGATTTCATAATAATATTCCTAAATTAGCTAGGTGGACTTTAAAGTACAAGTGAATAGTTTGCTCACAGGTTAAAATGTTTTTGTTTTTGTTTTTTTTCATTTGGATGAACAAAGTAGACAAATATATTGTTCCTAATTCTTTTTAAATAAATAGAAATTTACTGGGCATTCTGAAATAGAGATTCTAACTGTTCTTAGTTCTTTCAAGGTGAGACACTATTAAAAACATGTATCTCTTGTGTGTCACAGTGTAAAAGACTTCATGTATTACTAAATATGTCAACAGGAATCCAAGATAGGCGTTATAAGGTAGGAAAAGGCAAGCCCAGAGCAGGTAAGTAATTTGTCCAAGATGCCACAGCTAGCAGATGGAGGAGTTTAACCTCCATGACTGTGACTGTCCTGACTCCATTAACTATTTAGCAAACCCTGCTGACATGTTGCATCTAAACAATACATCTTAGCCAACTTTAACCACGAAACAGAGCAGCAGTAAAGTAGCGGCTAAGTCAGACTCTCCTCTTTTAGGACACCCCGAACAAAGACGTTGTCTGTGCACTGACGAAACTTAGGCAAGAAATATGATGATCCTTGCGTAGAAGGAAAAACTGGGTGTCTTTTCTTCCAAGACACATTTTGAAAGAAAACCGAGTACCTGGACATTGGCAAAGTCAACACGGTTGAGGTCATTGAGCATCTGGTTGATCTGGGAAGTGTTCTGGAGCACTGCACGAGCTGCCTGGGCCAGGTGATTGAGCGATGTGTATCTTCGCAGAGTCTGGGCAAAGGCACTTACAGCGGCAACCTGGAAAAAAAATCCTATCAAAACCAAGTAGTTTTCTCTCCAGTCCAAGAAACCACTGAAATCTTCAAATCTTTCTTCCCTGGCCAAATTTTAAATGCTTTGTTCTGATACTTATTCCACATTTGCTTCGTGTGAGAGCTTACTTGTAAATTATAGCATTTAAATCTCTAAACCAAGTATTATTTTCCTTTTGAGTAGGTAGAGGTCAAGACTAAAACAAACTCCCATGTTCTTTGACATGAGTGTAGCATTAATTAAACCAGTCTTGCAAGAAATGACTTCTTTGTCTAGGGAAGCATGAAAAATGTTGATTATCATTTCTCTTTCATACTCTCTGCAGGACAGGCAATACAAACTCGGTCAATACAACTTTTTCTCTTTTTAATTTGGAAAACCAAATTGTACAGTCTCACTTTTTAAAATAAAGAATTGTCTACTCTTGAGAGTACTTTCATTCAGATTCACTATTATTGCTTTTATTTTAGAGAAGGTGAAACAAGAGTATTTGTAGCTTTTCTTAGCATATACATAGCCAATAAACTTGTCAGACATAAGCACCAAGAACTCTTTTTCATGATCTGAATTTACATAGAAGAGCCATCCAGGATTTCTCCATTTGCCCCTCAACATCTACTTTTCCTTTTTCTCCATCTGCTCTGCCCAGGAAGATGACTTTGAATGGACTATGTTTAACCATTTCCCTTACATTCTAGCTTCCACTTGGGTTTGGCTAATGGTAGGCACTGGGAGGAGACAGAAGGATAGGGGAAAAAAGGAGTAATCAAAGTATTTATCCCCCTATCACCTCCACTCTCTCCCCGTTTTGGCAAAGCTTGCTTCTGTGGACTAACGCCACAGTCCTTGAAGGAAGGAGAGGATATCCTACTACCACAGCTTTTCCCTCTTTCCCCTTGAGACCTTGGGATACTCAGGACTGCTCACTGTTGCTAGTGCTGGGGTGCTTTACCATTCTTCCAGATTTTTTTTTTAACTCTGTTCACATCTTTGGGAATAGACCCTTCTTAAATTCTTTTCAAGTATTCTCCCTTTGGATATACCATTTGCTTCCTTCTGAGAGTCTCAATGAAATAGGTTATATTGAAAGATACCCAAGATAATATGTTAAAAAAAAAAAGTCTAGGTAAATATCTAAATCTCATGGAAATCTGTCACATGCACCATAAATCTAATGAGCATTTTAACATACTTATAGGAATAGATGGTATGACATTAAATCATGATGGGTCTGTATGAAGTAGCTGATTCAACAGTCCTGTACAGGGTGTTCACAGGTCAAAGGATGCTTTCTGTCTTGATAGTGAGATGTTTCAGGACTATGTGGAACTTGGAAGAGGTCTTATACTTGTTTCCATGTTTGTGGTTTTTATTAACTGAGTACATACTATGTGCCAGATGCCATGTTCAGTGCCTCACCATATGTTGTCTTAATTCACATAACCATCACATTAGACACATTAGACTTAAAGGGGTTAAGCAGCTGGCTCAAGGTTACACAGAAACTATGTTCTGGTGGTGGGATATGTTTGATAACCATGGCCAGTCACAACCTAACTATGTTCTTTCTTCTTTCAGAGTAGATTATTTTCATTGATTGAGTGCTCAGCTGGAAAAAAGATTGCACATCTGTGATCAAAGAAAAACAGAAGACACCCTCCCTCCAAGGCAGATCATCCAAATCAACTCTGGGTATTGATGATATTGGCCAATATTGCAGTTAGATTGCTACCACATTCACTTCGATGATACTGGGAAGGAAGGTGCTTCTAGCTCTTTGAAGTATGAATGTAAATATGACTGATTTTGTAATTGGAAAGCATTCCTATAACCGTCATAATCAAATACTACCTTCTTTCCTTGCCCACCTCAATGTGGCACTCTAGAACTTTCTGTAATGATGGAAATGCTCTATATACATGCTGCCAAATATGGTAGCCACTGGCCGCTTGGAGTTATGGAACACTTGAAACACAGCTAGCTCGTGTGGCTGAAGAACTAAAATTTTAATTTAATTTAAATTTCAAATTCAAATTAAATAGCCCCTGTGGCTATCCTCACAGTTTTGGCCACATAGCTCTAGAGCAGCAATCTAAGGTGAAATATTCCTTCTGCATGTTTTTTGTTTGTTTATTCCCGTATGTTTTAGGAAGTCGTATTGCAAACCTTAGGTCAAAGCAGAAGGAACTGGGAGCTACTTATGTTCCCAAAGAGACTTGTCAGCTACATGAACTTCAACCTATTAACTATATCCCCAAATTGAAAAGACAATGGGTGTATGGATGAAGTGGATAGAGTCATTGAGAAAAAGCCAGGAATATAATTTTTGGTGCAAACTTCAGACAGAATCAGTCCAATCTTGCTATAGGATATGTTCACAATTAACCTAAAGTAACAAGGTGAGCAAGGGGTAGAGAGCACAGTTCATATCTATAGCTGAATAATCCACATTCCTGATAAACACTGATCAATTATAAGATAATTGCTTACTTTAAGAAATGATACCTTGATTCACAAAAGCATTCTCTAGTGTTAAAAAAATCCTGAAAATCAAAAGAATATTAATTTACATAAACGTTTCACAATATAATGAGTATAGTTGAGGACTTCAAAACTCTAAAACTCCCTCAAGTGGAAACTACTTGAACATTCTAGGCTATTCTTTTTAATTTTTGTGATGAAGCAATTTGAAAAACATACTTTGGGAAAGGCCTTGGAAATACACGCCACTTAAAATGTTCCTCTAGTTTCTTCGAAAGGAGCATTATCAAATACCACCTCTTGTGCGGGTTCTTGATTACATGGTTATAAAGCACAAACAAAAAACCAGTCTGAAAAGTTTAATACATTCCAGTATCAACCTTGTAGATGATAACATTTGATAGGACTGATATAAAATTCACAGCTCAGAACAGATTTCTAAACACAGAAGTAAAAGCAAACACATATGAACTTACCTTGGTTTGTATCATTCTCTGTGGGATATTGTTCATGGCATTGGAAAGCCAACCTTCAAGGCTTTTTGCAAAATTTCGAATGGCTTGGGTCAAGGCACCTAAATGTTGAAGAATAAAAGCAGAACGAAAAAGACACCAAAGAACATTAATCTTTATTCCAGGAGAAGAGAAAACATGTGTACATAACATCTGAAATAGCACAGAATAGCACTGTCCTCATTGATGAGACTTTTTTTAGCATAATTCCTAACTTTGAAAGCATCCAAGAAGTATATTTTGGGCTTTTTTTTTTTTTTTCTTTTAAAGCTCTTTTGTTCCCAGATATTTAGGACAGTTCGTTGGGAAATGAAAACACTCAAACATTTTTGCTTATAGTAACATATACCAGTTGTGAATATACTTATGGAATTCTCTGCCTTAGACCAAAACACTCTTCTCATTAGCAGCTTTATGCTTTATGTATTTTCTTTATAAATTCTTCATCTTGATTTTTCAAGCTCTTAATCTATTTTTCTTTCTTTAGTTAAAAAGAAAACAATGCAAAGCTTTCTCCCTTTCTCTACACATATATTCATGCTAGAACGTATTAATTAGAATAGTTATCTCTTCCACTTGTTGAAAAGTAAAGTAAAAGTTAAAATTGTCTGACTTGAAATTCTCCGTTTCACTTGCTAGGTAGAGATAAAATATCAGTGTGATAAAACTGCTGTCCCAGAGACCACTATTCTTAAGATATTCCTAAAATAGACCATTCCATATTCTGCACCTATCTGTTAAGACCTGAAAGAGGACTGGGTCCCACGAGAGTAGCTTTTATGGTGGTCATAAAAAGACTGGAAGGATCATGTTATCAGGAATGACTACAACTATTTTACAAGAAGGGATCTGCTTCCTGAGACTGCTTTATAATAAAAACAGAACTCTCCGCTTCTTCAACAAGTAATTCAGTCAATAGTATTTTACTTCATCTGTTTCCAAAGCTCCACAGTGTAGGGAGCAGTTTCAGACCTTTTAAATAGATAAGTGTTTGAAAAACCCACAACGTGAAATTAAGCTCTGTGGGTTCCCTTTAATGTGGCAGGCATTATAATTTGGACTCTCCTATAAGAAACACGGAAGTAACCTTTTTCTCCCAAGCTCCCAAGAATATTAATATTGATGCTGGGATTAAATTTCTTGGTTTTTCTTCCTGTGCTCAAATGAGTCTGGCATGCTTCTCTATTATGTTTGGTAAAGCAGGGTTAGAAATAATTAGCCTGCTCAAGTTGCTTGCGAAAGATACAGATTTTACTAACCCAATCATAAAAACAACTGTTTTTTAAAATCATTTCTTTAACTGATCAAATGACAGAAGAGAGGATGAAATGACTAAATTTTGATTAGGAGAACTACTCAAGAAGTATCGACTCTTAACCATGACAATCATCTACTGGAAACACTGAGTTGGAAATTTCTTGCGAACTAATCTTGTGAAATTTCCGAAGCTTCCCACTTAAGCCAAAAAGAAAAAAGAAAGAAAAATATTTTTCTGCTGTCTTATGTACTTAGAACCATGGAGGGCAGGCATGAATGGAAATGAAAAAGAGTAAAAAAAAATTTAACGACCCTTTTTGAAACTCAGGAAAATTCTGTTCAAGATTCATCTTGGCTATCTATATTTGGCAGGTTTTCTACTCTTAATATATAATAATAATTTGATCTGCATTAAAAAAACAAGAACTAAGAAAAATTACTTTAAAAAATATTTAGTATGGGTCTCGTTTTATCTAGGCAAAGTTGATACTAGGAAGATTACAAGATAAAAAGATGTTCTGTACATCAAATGACTGAGAGTTTTTACTGTCTTGTACTAAATGACATTTGGGACCACCTTGCCATGTACTCATAATTGTACATAAGTGTTACCAGTTGAGTTCTTATACAATTCTTACACTTAACAGTTTTCGTTTTCAGATAAATGTATTTTAGAATATAGTAGCTTCAAGCTGACTTCAAATTAGTGTGATATGCAGACTTTTTTTTTTTTTTTGGCTATAAAAAGGAATCCCATCTGGACAGTAAATGGTAGAGTGAAGTTCTAGTAGCCAGGAAAATATAATTTTTAAAAATAAAATTAAGTTTGTTCTCTCTATAGGGATTCATGTCAGATCAAATTGTACAGATTGACTCTGACAACTTTTCCTCATGAATGGATGGCTTAAAATTTAAAACCATTCCAAAGATAACTTGTCTCAACCTGCTTGTGATTAATATTAAAACGCACACGATCAGAGGATAGCTATTTGAGCTGTATATTAAGCTTTGTTTTGTTAAGTCTTGTTATAGAATCAGAATTACATTTCCAAATGTACTTTGTAGGGGAACACATTAATATCCCTTGTAATTTCATAGAAACTATAAAACTACGGTCATCTGAAAATTCCTGAATTTGAGTTGTCTGCTAAACGTAGAGACAGACTTCTTGACAGAATAAATTGGCTTTCAAAGCAAAATTTGCAAAAACAAAAACAAAAATCAAGTGTATTGTGTACTTAAAATTATGAGGCTGATATTCAGCTAAAATTGATACGTGATTTAGGTTAGGGAAATGTTGACTTCACAAGTCCTGACAAAGCAAAAGACTTCAGAGTTGTTTAATGAATATTGATGCTGTTGATTTGCCTCAAACAAGAAAGAGCCCACTGATATCTCTTCTTGTATCTCATGAAAGAAATGGTACTTGGGGGGTAAGATGTCACAGGTTAATGAGCCAACCCTATGCAACTTCTCTTAAACATCTCTAGAGATTATTACTCAGAGCACAGGGAGCAAGGCAAAAACAAGGAAAATCGAGATTCTGGAACATAAATTGGTAGAGAATTTACACATGGAAACTTTCCATGACAACATCACTTTTAATCAATCGACAGTCAGGAAACCTGGTATAGATAAAGTGGAAAATATTAGCAATTTATAAAAATGTGAGACAGTGACAGTTGGAATTCTTTTTTTAAAACTCATTTCTAGATAAATTTATGTGTGTTCATTGATATTATATGTAAATGAGCGTCTAAGCCTCTATTTCAAGATGGTGGGAAACATATGAAAGCACTTGTATCTTCCACTGTTGTTTATCATATTTAGAAAAAGAAAGTATAAACATACAAACACTGGTATCTTCACCTTTTCTTTTACTAAATCCCTGCTTAATATTTTGTTATGATTTAACATAAATCACCTGTGAACAGGGTACTTTAAGTACGTGGCTGGCAATTTCACAAGCTACAAGACTGCTTTCATCTTATTAATGTCACTGCAGAGTGGAAATTCTGTCCCATTTCTTTAAAAGTTAAGGTCATGAGTATGTGCTCATAAAGATGTTGGCATAAAATCCTTTCAACTGCCTCTGACACAAGTATCCATAGTAGCATTTATATTGACACTTGCAGAAAATAGCTTTGTTGGCTACAAGATAGTTTAATAAACACCATCACCGAAAAAAAAGTCATCTAAGTTATCTATGTAATTCCTATATTGTTTCATGGTGGGAATATAACACTCGTCTAGTTATACATATAGAGATTTTATGCTCACAATGCCAGTTAACCATTACTGTTAATGGAAACTGCATTTGTAGTTCTCAACATGATGGAGGTGACAAAGTAAATGCTTTTATACAGGAATTCAACTTTAGTGGAAACCAAGATAAATTCATTTCAAATCAAAAGCAACCATGAAAGAGGCTGGTCTCGCAATTACAGATTTCAAAAACTTTTGGCTTTATGAAGGAAACTGTGTCCTTTGGTAGAATAATCTATACAAGGCTGCCTGGCCTGGGAGTGTTCTCGCAATTAGTCACTGGGGCTGTCACACCTATAGGTTGTCTTTTCTATCGAAAAGAAAATGAATGATTGGAGAACAGATCCTTTTTTTTGCCCCTGTCCACTACAGTTCTGCTCTAGGCTACTCTCATGCAATGCTCTTGTGTTGCATGTCTTGTTCTATTTTGTTTGGCAAATCTAAATGAGATGAGAATCACCCTGGATTGCAACGTCACTTTCCCAAATTTCTCGGGTGGAACATATGAGAACAAAAGCATGTTTTGTTCTATTTTGTTTGGCAAATCTAAATGAGATGAGAATCACCCTGGATTGCAATGTCACTTTCCCAAACTTCTCGGGTGGAACGTATGAGAACAAAAGCATCCGTACTTGTCTGCATTTAACTTACTAGGAATAGGTCTAAGCACGTCGGGGATGAGAATCTCCACCAAAGCCTGGTACATCCCATGGTCACAGTTACACATCCATTTCAGGATAGACTCATGTTTGCACAGAGTTATCAGCTTTGCTTTCGGAAGTCGACTTTCTATTTCACTCAGATTGCTGGTGTGAATAAATGTAGCAAATGAATAGATGGCAAATGAGGATAAAAAAGAAAATGGACTTTAAAAATAGTTTTAGTTTATCAAATATCACTGAGGTTAGAACGATACCACCAATGCACTGGTGCCATACGGCTGGATATATATATAACACTCCCCCAGAGCTGCCTATGCACGTTAATACTTTCTGACGGTATGAAAGGCACATATGATACTCATTCCATGAGGATGAAATAGCTCTACCACAGTCCCCCAAATCAATAAAAATGGGACTACAACACACACACGCTGAAACCTCCAGAGGCCGGTTTGTGGTTCATTTCAATCTATTCATTTAATGTTATCAGGTCAGGTTCACAACTGGTATACACATCTCTAATTTATTAGCTGTGACATCTACTCAGCCATGGAAATGAATTGGAAAAGCATATTGATTCTGACCTTGATTCAGTGATGGTAGTGCCGTCAGTTGGAGTAGAAGGAGAATAGCGCCAGAAAGTTTGCCACAGTTTTTCTATCAGGCTAAACTGAAGATTCACAACAACGTCCAATATTGCCTACAAAACAGAACGGTTATCGGCTTCACCTGACGATGCTTCCTACAGGCACGGGTGAGGGGTGCATTCCGCATTGGGATGGAAACGGCAAGGACGCATCAGGATGCCCAAGCTATATGGTGAAACTGGAGTGAATTTTGCCAATGGAAGCAGGTGGACTGAAGAGCTTAGGCAGGGAGCACGTAACTCTGGAAAGATGAATGGGATGATGTGTATCCCTCCCATCACGGCCACATGTCCTTGTGTTAACCTCTCTTTTTTCTCACTTACGTCCCTTCCTCTCCATTGTCTTCTCTTACTCTGCTGCCATTCCTTCACACGCTGCTTCCTTCTGCCACCACGCTGCTACCATACTTCCCATTCTTAGACCCAAAGGGACACAGTCCCCAGTGGCCCAGGGGTGCCAATGGCCATCAAAGAGGGCAGAAGGGAAGGGTGTGAGGCTGCCTGCCTGCATGTGGCAGAGTCAAGGCTAAATGACCCTGTCCCAGGGCCACTGACCATGATTCTAGAGTGTCCCCAGGCCACCAGAGGCTGGGGGAGGAACTCAATGAGGCTGGCCTTCAGAAGACAGCCACCTGTCTGGGCAGGAAAAGGGCACCTCTTTGGTCAAGCCATGCTTTCACTTCCATCCCACCTCTGCTCATTCCCTTCAGAGAGCAGCTTTAGGACTCCCCCTTCTTCTAACCTTGGGGGCAGGGCCCTCATCTCCTTCTTCTGCTTCATTTTACCTCTCAGAACCATTTCCCAGCTGCATCAAAGACATTTTATTTTTTGATGATGCTAAAATTTGCCCCCTTCATTAAATTTTGATGATCATATTTAATTTCACCCAGCCATCGCAATTAGTTTATAAATTCGCCTTCAGATAAAAGCAGTCAAAAAACCAAAGAATAACTTGTTTGTGCAAAGAACATGTGACTCTGTGATTATTCTGAGCATAAAAGACAGAAGTCATCACCATAATGTGTTTGATGTCATGAGCACTGAGAATGAGCCCAGGTAAAGCAGCCCCATCTAGATCTACAAAGTTCCTAGAAGCAAGGAGACAACAGGGGGCAATCGAGAGACTCAATGTGGGTAGTTAAGGCAAAAGGAGGAAACTGTAACTTCATAATTCTAGAGTCTGTGCCACCCATATAAATCTGTGGCCCTCTGTATGATACGGAGAATAACTGATGTTCTATAGAAGCACACTCTGAGACAAATTCAAACACTAAGGAAAATCTGTTTGGGGGCATGTTAATTAACACACTCCTCACTCTTTGATTATTAGGAACAATAAAGATGCAAGTGTAAGCCTGGAAGGTAAAAGGCAGATAGATGGCCCTCCTCCCAGGCAGAAATGTTTTCAAAGGGGCAAACTACTATTTTTTTCAAGATGTATTTATTTTGAGAGAGAGAGAGAGAGAGAGGGAGAGAGAGAGAGAGAGAACATGAGTGAGTGAGTGCAGGAAGGGACAGAGAGAGGGGGAGAGAGAAACTTTAGCAGACTCCATTCCGTGCTGACCATGGAGCTGGACAGAGGGTTCAAGCTTACGATCCCAGATGATGACCTAAGCTGAAACCAAGAGTCAGACACTCAATCAACTGCACTACCCAGGCACCCTGAGGCAAATTATTATACTGCTTTCTCAGTTGTACCTTCAGCACATTCCAAGAGCTATCTATTAATAAAAACTACTAATACCATATATAATACCTACATATCGCTATCTGTGAGATTGCTATAAGAATGCTAAGCTTTTTTAAAAATAAAACCAATTACTGTTGCAGCAACTTTTCTTATAACAAGAAAATTATACTTGTACCTTCCATAAAAAAAACTAGTGTTACTTAGGAAATAGCTTTGATAAGCAAATTATGAGAATTCCAAAAACAGGCAAAAAAAGGTATATTAATCTTCCTTAAAAACATTAACTATATGGAATACGAGAAAGATTAGGCAAGGGAAGAATTCAGTGCATCTTAAATTCAGTATCTCTCCAAATTAAGTAATCTCAAATAATTGCTTTGAAAAGGACATTCACATCAGCCTCACTTGAGACATTTCTACAAATGAATAAAACATTTTACCATTTGTCCACCTACTTTCAAATATGTTCAGACTAAAATATATAGGCAAATGTATTTTTAAATAATCCTTATTGTACTGGCTTAGGGCAAGTGGCTATTTACAGGATGGGATATGGGACTGAACACCTGTACTTCAAAAGTTTGGAGGTTCAGCATGAAGAAATAATTAGGATTCTTCTTATTTCATATATGCTGCTTGTGCCTCACAAGCGACGGCATGAATGCCGGTAACTGAAATAAGTGGGGATCATTCTAGGGACTGCCGTTTCCCACATATACTGATTACCATACGTGTCCATACCTCTTCATATAGACTATTCCTGAATGTTGGTATGTTAATGAAATTTTTGTAATCCAAAAGATAATTTCATCTTTCGTCTTACTGGTGTTTTCTACTTAGAATGAGCTTACTGTACATTCTTCAGTAATATAAATAATCATGCTCCAATTTATATTTTGAACAAACAAAAGAAACTTAACCCAAATTTTGTTTCTGTAGGTTGGCTTGCTTAAAGCAAGATGCACCTGAGCACAGAGAAATGAGAAACTGCTTAGAGAATCTTTATATAAATCTTTATTGAATATACATGATATTCATGTACAAAGAAAGACTTTTTTTCCTAGGTACATAAGGCTCATCCAGAAACCCTCTAATGTTGGGAGAAGTGCAGTAGTCCAAGAGAGATGAATATTAAGTGTCTTTCAACATTCCAAGAAATTCTGGGAACAAATTGGCAGGACATGTTGAAAAACACTTTTGGCACATGGTTTGTTAATAGAGAGAGAACTCGCCCTTGGTTGTTAATAATCCAGCACCCTTGACAAGCACTCGGATTCACTCAAGCAGTTTGTATTTCTGGAGTGGGAAAAAAAAATCTGTGAATGCTATGAGCTGAGACTTCTCACTGCATACTGCATTGTCAGCAGTCAGGACGACTGCCCATGAAACCCAAAGGAATATCTTTTACTCCTAAGCAGATCACAAATAGCCCTGGAATAAAGCTACTTAAATTCTAAACAGTATTCCTCTTTCAAAAGGAGAGGCACTTAAAATAATTCTTATTTCAGTCTGTTAGCCTTTCTACCAGGTGAGCTGCAGGTATATTAAAACGCTGGCTCTGAGGGAGTTCACCTCCTGGAGACAATGAGCCAGTTCTGGTGGGGAATCCTCAGGAAAGGAGTAGAAGCAGAGATGGAATAATACCAAGAGAATCTTTAATAACCACAAAAACAAAACAAAACTAGCCCCACAATAATCCCTGGAAGGAACATCTAAAATCCTTCATTAAACATTTCTAAATAGTATCTTTTTCCTTTTTTTTTTTAAAGTTTATTTATTTATTTAAGTAATTTCTACACCCAGTGTGGGGTCGAGGTTAAAAGCTGCATGCTCTCCTGAGCCAGCCAGGCATGCCTCCAGAAAATATTTTTGATAGAAATACACAATTATGGTATAAAATTCAAAAGGTCAAAAGGGATTTTGAAAAATTAGGGGCTCTTCCCCCAACTCCCAGTCACTCAGTTTCCTTCACAAAGGCAACCATTAAGACATTAACATTTTGTTCTTTCTGCTGGAGAGATTTGTATACATGTTGTTTTTCACTCAAATGATACTATACTATATATGCCTGTTTTATATCTTGCTTTTCCCTCAAAAATAAATCCCGGAACTTAGTCTACATCAGGACATTTAGAAGGGTCTGTTTGTTTTAATGGCTGCATAGTATTCTACTCTAGAGACTGTATCTTTTTTTTAAAAAAAGATTTTATTTATTTATTCATGAGAGACACAGAGACACAGGTAGAGGGGGAAGCAGGCTCCCTGATGTCAGACCCCAGGACCCTGGGATCATGACCCGAGCTGAAGGCAGAGGCTCAACCACGGAGCCACCCAGGCGTCCCTGTACCATGTTTTATTTATTCGGTTCCCTTTTAGATGTTGAAACTATAACCAATCTTTCGCACTAAAAACAATAATGTAGCAACTTTCCTTGTACACATATAATGTCTCCACCCATATTACATATTTTCTAGGGTAGGTACCTAGAAGGGGAATTGCTGTGTCAAAGGATGTGGATCAGGATAGGCTAAGAAGATGGACAGTGCAATTTATTCTCCCTTTCCCACAACCCTCATTTCTTCAGACAAGAAGAAAGATGAACTTCTCAGTGTTCAAAGATATATATGAACTAACTTCTCCTGTCCTCTAGGAATTAGCTGGATTATTTTGTTTTTAGCAAGTTGTCTGGCAAAACTTAGCGTGCATTCCTACTGTGTTTGAAAAAACTTACCTCACAGTGCTCTCGATAAAGACTCTGCAGTGACTTGATATCCTCAAAGGTAGTACCATCTGGCAGAGAAGAGATTTCAACTTCTCCAAACTCTGGAAGTGCTCGAGATGCATCTGTTGCCATGACAACACAACAGAAAAAAAAACTATTGTGGATTGTGCCAATTACAGATTAATAAGGGGAAATTTTAAATAGACTAAAAAAAGGTAGGGGGAAGGGAATGTGAAGACCAGAGGTCCAACAATTAAGAACTTTTCATAGTGTTTTTCAAACAAAATATAGCAACATCATCAGTACAAAAGAATAGAGGAAGAACTTGAAAACCATGGAGGAACTAAATTTTCACTATGATTAATACTAGAAATAATATACCACCGTGTCTCCCAACGGAGGGCCCCTATTAAAAGAAAGGTACCTCGAGCTGGCCAGTATCAATTATGCTAATTTCATTATTATGTTACTTAAGAATATATAAAAAAAAGAAACCTTAGCTTTAAACTCATGATGCTCATGCACCTTGTATCATCATAAACCAAAAAAGCTATGGAATGAGCCCAAATAAAACTACAAAAATCACATTAAACTAAACGTTATTTTGATATGATGGATGATGCCGGTGCCCTATAACTAAATTACCTCTTGCAACATGAATATGGTATTAAGTGCCATGGCCCAGATCTTTTGGGTTTGACAGACCTAGACCAACAGGTATTTTGTGGTGGCTGGTTCTACCATTACTCTTCTATATTCAAATGAGCTGTGGAACTTTCCACTACACAGAGCTTGGGATGAATTACATAATTTATGTAATTTACATAGTAAGTCTCTCCCTGTTCTTTTCTCACTAGCTAGCTCTGGACAATGAACACAATACACTTTGATGCCTACTTCATCATGAATTCAAATATAAACATGTAAACTAAAATTGCAGGACAGTATTTGGTCTCCTCTTCTAGATAATCCAGAACAGGCTTTTATTATTTCTTTACAGATTCTAATAGAAGTAAAAACAGAAAATTAAAAAAAAAAAAAAAACAACCTAACAACTCTTGTTGACAGCTCAAGACTCTAAAGAGTACACACAAGGACTCCAGTTTGGGAAATGTTGCCAGAATGTTTTCAACTTCAGCAGCTATTCTGACTTGAGAGTCCTTTTTAGCTGTTTGTCAGAAAGCGCACACCGACAAACACATGCACACACAAAATACATACACACGCGCATTCTTTGGTAGCTTGTGTTTATCTTGATCTGTTGTAAGGAAGCTATGCATACTCATTTCTAGAAGAGTTGTGGATTAGAGTGCCATGTTTTGCACCTGTAGCTATGACAGGAATAGGCAGATTGTTCAAGCTTCACTTCCTAGCTCTTTAAATAACAAGCAACATGTATAGCATCGACAAAATTACAGAAATAGGATATATTGTGATCAACTTAAAAGAATAACTGTCTTCTGAAAAGTTGATGACATTTTTTTTTTTTCCTAACCTGAGACTACACATTTGCAATTTTGTACCCAGGAAATGAGAATTCTCCTTGGCACTTGGAGTTAACTACTGAAAGAAAACAAGATGCAACTTTGATCACAAAAGCCCAGTTAATACAAATTCTGCACAACAACTTCACAGCTATGAGTCTTTAATTCACATGCATTTAGAAGTCCTACACAGCTTGAGGTTTTTTTGAGAAGCTCTAGTGAACAGGGAAAAAGTAGAAATCATCTAGAATTATTACGATATGCAGAGTTGCAGCACACACACACACACACACACACACACATCTTTCTGTGTAGTTAGCATTCATGATAAACACAGTGCTTGGAGAAAACACTATTGTGCTCTGGTTTTCAACATCTTAGTAGCAACTATACAACTATACAATGTTTTATACACCTTAACATACCTAAAAACTGTTGATGATGTTGACTTTGGGCTATTACAGTTTGTTCAACAGATGTGCCAGTCTGCTGACCACTTCCTGTGAAACCATCTGCAACCCCATCCACTTTCTGCATAGGCTTGTACCTAAAAATTTTAGATGGGAGAAAACAAATAAATCAAATTATTCCTTGTTTTTTTGCACTATACAAAACTCCCAAGGCATTCGATTTTGCTCTCCTTTCTTTAATGTCTCATCATAGCTGGAGGATTGTTTCTTTCTGACAGTCTCATAAAGTTAGGATGAAGAATTCTTTTCAGTTGTGAAAAGCAAAAGGGAGGAGGGACTTGGGAAGGGGGCCAGTTTTTGAAAATTCAGAAATTTGTCTAAGAACAAGAGTTAGGCATTTCTTCAGACAGAGGTGGTAAAGATGCCTGTGATTACATGCAGTGTGAACATAACTTTTAATGGGCCAATGGATCAAGAGGAAATATCTGAAATACACTGGGACCTTAATCTGAAGTAACTATCATGGAGCTGGGGCCTGAGAATTAATGAATGGCTTTCAGTGAATTAATATCTCTCATCCAGGATAAGGCCAGAAACTACCATACTCTTTTTCATAATTCCTAAAGCCTCCTATGCATCTCAACACAATCATCTCCATTGACCCCTACCCTCGTCTGCAAATACAAAGACTGTACACATCAGCTCACAGCAAAATACATGCAAGAATCCACCTACAAACCTAGGTTTACCAAATTTAAAAAATAAAAAGAATCAAAGTCAGCTCCAGGCATGCATTTATCTTTTGGTCCTAGTTATACAAACTCATGAACTCTCCCACTAAGACAGAAAGAACAGGCTCCAGCAGCATGGATGAGAAGGGAAGGCCGCTGGGAAGAGAAACAGCACACGTGAACAAAAGCTTGGGCAAGTCTCCTAAGATGAGCGAATACAAAAATAAGAAATAAACAGCTATAATTTCTTCTAAGGTTTCATTTACTTCATGTTAGAAATTTAGGGAAAAAAATCAGAAGAACATAAGAAAAGATTAAAATCTACCATAAGCTTAGTACCTACAGATAGCATTCACTTTGTTTATTCTCCCATTTTTCTCCATTTCTAATTATATTTATAAACAAAACCATCTAATATTCTCTCCACCCAGACACAACTCTAACATTAATATCATAAGTCAACTGGATCACTGATATGAAATTACTGTAAATAACAGTGTCCCTGGTACATGAACAGGGTGTACCTAAAGGCACCTGCACTCTGATGACAAATATGAGATGAATGGACCTGATGAGACATCATGCAAACTAATGGTCGGGTTGCATTAGGAAATGACTCAATCTTGAATGTTATTCATTAGAACTTAGATAAACAAAACTTGCAGGAAAAATTGTAGTCCCTCAGCATGACATTTACATTCATTTCTTCTGTGACAGTATCTCACAGAGAACTACGAAAAGCAAATGTAAAGTCAAAAGGTGAACAAGGTAGAAAAAGAGGGCAACACACTTCATCTGTGTTATCATCTTCATCATGGCCCTGTGCCACTCAAATGTGAATTGTTATTTTCTAATGACACCGAACAATTCAAATCTATTTTTTTTTTAGTTAATGGAAAAAAAAATCTCAAAGTGCCTTTTCGTAGGAGCCATACCAAGTGATGACAGAAAGGTTAGTACTATAATGTGCTGGAAGTGCCATTTATGAAAAACTGAATTATTATTATTTTTTCCCTCCTTAAAAAATCATCCTAGAGAGGTGAAAAAGATGGGCAAGGACTTTGAGTACTCATGTGGGGAAGCAGTTGCCAACCATTCTATTCTGGGAGACTTGAATGATTTCATCCTTGGGGAAGTTCCTCATCAATCCATTCAAAGCTTCATTTGATTTTAATCCCCCTTTTTCAGGTATGAAACTTTATACCACTAATAGAATAAGCTAAAACTCTTTAAACGTGTTTCTCTACTTAATTTAATGAAGTTTGGGATCCATGGAGTTAATAAACAGAAATGGTTAAAAGGATTTGAATTTTTTACATTGCAGAAGGGAAAATGGAAGTATTACCTACTAATTTCAATTCTATTAAATTTTAATATGGGATTCAAGAGTAATTTTGAGACTTTGCCCAGCTGTGCTTTATCAAGCTTCCCTTGTCCTGCACAGCATCTAGGGTACCATGCATGCTTCCTAAGCACAAATGTCGAGGTCAAATTTAACCATAGAAGGAAATGATGTGTATTCCTTTTAGAGTGTAAGTTTTCAGAGGACAGATGGTGTGTCACAATCTACTTGCACACAGTACTCATCAAGCCTGTAGCCCACAAGCAAAATTATCTGCTTCCTCAGAAAGATGGAGACAGAGGAAATTCCTAAGGGAAAGAAATATGATATTTTTAATAAGCACTCAAAATCAGAACACATTATAATTAATGTATGATTATGCTTCATAATAATGATATTGAGTGGGAAGCACTGATTAGAAGTACACTATATTATACAGGAGATGGAAAATACATCAAGATTAGCTTGTAGATAAAAAGGAAGTTGGTAAATTCTGCAGAAACCGGGCAGGTCAGTCGGTACTCAAGAACCGATCCTATACAGGAAAGGTAAAGGTAAAGGCGGGGGGGCGGGGGGGGGGGGAAGAAGTATAGTAAGAGTGGGAAATGAGTGGATTTATTCCAACCATAAGAGTAGCAAGGTTAACAGTGGATCGAACAGATACCGTTTGGTTGCCTTGCCAGTAGGACCTCTATAGACCAGAACTTTTTGTTGAATCTCCTCAGACAAGTCTGAGAGCAGTGTGGGCCATAATGATTTCAGGACGGGCAAGAATCTGGCTCAGAGACAAGAGGAGTATTCCTGTGAACCTCTAAGTCTGAGAGAGCTCCTTGGGAATGTTGATTTTTGCTTTTCCTGTTTTGTCTTAAGTCATAAGTCACTTAATGGCAATACTCAGTGCCTTGCTTGACAGGGGACTGGCCCTTCAACAGAATCTCTAGAAAATCAGAAACACCAGACAGAGGAAAGCTAGATGTTCATTTTCCTGATGATTCGTCTAAGGAAAACATTCTATCACTACCATCTCCTCAGAACTGTGAAGACCCAACTCTGAGGAGAAAGTTTAATAGGAAGTCAAGAAGAGCCACATTACAAATAGGCTGAACAATATCTGTGGTAAGTGATTCTTCCTAGAAGGAACAGTTACAGATGATATCATCAGACATTAGGTCCTGAAACCCAAATGTGTATCAGTACCTGGGTAGCTTTTCAAAAAGCTCAAATGCTAGGCTCAGCCTAGATCTACCCAGCAAAATCTCTAAAATGGGACTCAGCAATTGACAACCTTAACGAGCCTCCCAGATATTTCTTTGGGGAGCTTGCACAGAACCACAGGAGACTCTTGGCCCAATGTAACTTCCTTCAGCCCAATGTTCATGTCATAGAAAAGTCCTTTTTTATAAACTAAGTGCTCAATTCTCAATTTGTGCCCAAGAAACTACATTTGGAATATAAAGAAATATCACTGAGTGGATAATAAAGGAATAAATGAATGCTCTAGGTAACACACTTCATTTTATGTCACCAATTGATGGTAACATGTATCACATTAATTTAACAAACATTCTTATTGAGTATTTACTATGGGGAAAGCACTGCAGGGGCATGGTTTCGAAAAGGCTGTGTATAAACAAAATTTTTCCAGGATTTTTTTTTTTTTTACATTCTATTGACTTACTGGAGCATCAACATTATGTGAAGCCTGGTTGAATTTCAACTGACCTTTTATAACGGAAACCCAGTTCTCAGACTTCCTGCCTCTTTGCACTCCTCATAAGGTACCATTTAAACATTAGACCATAAAAACCAGAGACATTTTCTGTTGAAAAAAATTCTTTGTTGAATCCTTTAAGCAAACTGAACTCTTTAAGTATTTAAGAGTATTTTCTCTCTTCATCCCATTTCTTTTGCAGAATCAATGTTTGAAATCTTACACTAGATTCTTAGTGTCCCTCAGTTGTACAATGCTCTGAGAAAGACCTGTGCTTCATCAAATGAAGAAACAGCTCTTGGTTTCCAAATTAGTAAGAGGCAAATGATAATTTTAACAGCTTGCAGCTCCATGGGCAATCAAAGCTAAAGTTGTTAATGATTAAGAAATCAAAGAAAGTCTAATGCTTTAATAGCGGAGTGTATGCATGAAACCTGTCACTAACACAGAAAACACGGAAAATTGTTAGGAATCTTCCCTCATGGGGTTAGTCATAGCTGTTATTTAGAACTTGGACAGCTGGAACTCTACTGTAAAATAATATCTAATTCTGTTAATAATCTCACATGTACAGACATTAAAGGAATCCAAGGAAAGGCAAAGGATGGCCCATAATTACTGTATTGTATTTATTATATTTAGCCGTACCATGATTTACAATGGACTAAATGAAACACTTAGAAAAGACTCCCTGAAACAGGGGAAAAATGCACAGGCAAAATGCAAAATCTCAACTGCATAGGTCAACAGTCTTTGTAATTCTAGAAAGTACACAATCTTGATCTGCATGAACAAATCTAAATGTTGAGCTCATAATCAGGGCAAGAAGCTAAAATTTTCTACTGGAATCTTGAGATTCTCTTTGGAACAACTGTCCCAGAAAATCTTGAGATGACTTGAGGTCTGAAACCATGTAAAAAATGAAGAGAGGAAAATACAGAATGCTGAGAGTGCCTTTCTTTCAGAATATGAACTGACTCCTTGATGTCACCCTAAATAGGTCTGTGTCTAAATGACTTCGAACATCAACCCTGCTGGTTAATGACAGTTACTCTGTCTCTTCAATTCTTGTTGGTGGCTCTTGAAGTACTTGCCTCTTCATTAGCTCTACATCCATAATTGGGTGAGGAGAGGAGGGAAAAATTAAATTCTGATGGGGTAGCTATACTGATTGCAGCAGTTTTAGTAGAAAATGTGGGAGATGTAGGGAAAGGAAGAGGTTGAAGTTGTCTGCTAAAATAAAAACTGGGGGTCATTCATTCCTTTAACAAATATTGAAAGAGTGCTGAACATGTGCTTGGTGCTCTCTTAAGGTGCTGAGGGTGTCATGTTGAAAGAGGCAGACGATATTTT